ACCTGGGTTTGATCCCTGGGTCCAGAAGATCCCCTGGAGGAGGAAATGGTACTCCAGTATTCTTGCCTGGAGTATCCCATGGACAGAGGAGCCTGGTGGGCTACAGTCTACCAGGTCGCAAAGAGTCAGACACGACTGAGCAACTTCACTTTCACTTTTAAGGACTAATGATTTGAGCATTTAAAAAATGTACTCATTTACATCTATATATCTTTTTGTTGGAGTGTTCAAATCACTTGACCATTTAAAAAACTGGGTTGCTTTCTTAATCTTGAGTTTGGGGAGTTTTTAAAATATATATTCTGACTACAAGTCCTTTATCAGACATGTGATATGAAAATATTTTCTCCCAGCCTTTATTTTTCAAAGAAAAGAAGTCAACTATTTAGATAAAGTCTAGCTTATCAATTCATTAGTCTATGGATTGTGCTTTTGGTATTGCACCCATTTCTTTAAATGTCTTTATAAGGCATTCTATTACATTACATCCACTGGATTCCCTCTGGTATATGTGTGTGTGCTCAGTTGTGTCTGACTCTTGAGACTCCATGGACTGTAGCCCGCCAGACTCCTCTACCGTGGGATTATCCCTGCAAGAATACTGGAGTGGGTTGACATTTCCTCCTCCAGAGGATCTTCCCAACCCAGGGATCAAACCCACGGCTCCTGTGGCTCCTGTGTTGACATATGGATTCTTCACCACTGAGCCACCAGGGAAACCCCTCCTTCTGGTGCCAGTTATCAATTTATTGCCTCTCAGATCCAATTCATCTTTTTTGCCTACTCTGTGAGGGTGAAAATAGACCCTTTAATATCCTCTTCTTTGGCATGTGGCAGGATGTTAAGTTTTGTCAATAGATGTCACTGGAGAGACACTGAAAAAGGAAAGGGGTTTGGTGCCCTAGCTCTGTAGACTTCTGTAGCATGCTTGGCTCCTGCCGTGCCAGACTACTGTGATCCACACAGCTTCTCCAGTGCCTGGATCCATCATCATTCAGTTGCTCACAGCCTCCCCCAGCAACCTTTCCATTAGGTGGTTTTGTAGCAGAGTGCTTCCAGGAAGACATCTCTCTGTGGGACAGCTTTCCTCAGCACGGTGGATTTCCATCAAATTCCACTAATGCAGCAGAAAGTGACTGCTTTGCCATTCATTGTGCTATACGCTCTAACAAGGTCTGGGCTCCAGTCTGGAAGTGGAAGGGGTCTTTTCCTTGGGAGTTCCATCTCTGCCCCAGGTAGAAGCTATTATATGTTGTATTGTGTTGTATTATTTATATTATACCTGTTATTAAAGCACAAGCCAGAATCAAGATTGCTGGGCGAAATATCAATAACCTCAGATACACAGATGACACCACGCTTATGGCAGAAAGCTAAAAGGAACTAAAGAGCCTCTTGACGAAAGAGGAGAGTAAAAAAGCTGGCTTAAAACTCAACATTCAATAAACAAAGAACATGGCATCTAGTCCCATCACTTCATGACAAATAGATGGGGAAACAATGGAAACAGTGACAGACTTTATTTTTTTTTTCTTGGGCTCAAAAATCACTGCAGGTGGTGACTGCAGCCATTAAATTAAAAGATGCTCCTTGGAAGAAAAGCTATGACAAACCTAGACAGAGTATTAAAAAGCAGAGATATTACTTTGCCAACAAAGGTCCATCTAGTGAAAGCTATGGTTTTCCAGTAGTCATGTGTGGATGTGAGAGTTGGACCACAAAGAAGGCTGAACATCAAAGAATTAATGCTTCTGAGCTGTGGTGTTGGAGAAGACTCAAGAGGCCGTTCGACTGCAAGAAGATGAAATCAGTCAATCCTAAAGGAAATCAGTCCTGAATATTAACTGGAAGGACTGATGCTGAAGCTGAAGCTCCATTAGTTTGGCCACCTGATGTGAAGAGCTGACTCACTGGAAAAAACCCTGATGCTGGGAAAGATTGAAGGCAGGAGGAGAAGAGGATGACAGAGGAAGAGATGGTTAGCTGGCATCACCAACTCAAGGGACATGAGTTTGTGCAAGCTCTGAGAGATGGTGAAGGACAGGGAAGCCTGGCATGCTGCAGTCCATGGGGTCACAAAGAGTAGGAAACCTGACTGAGTGACTGAACAACAGTGACAACCTGCTATTATAATTTTAAATATTGGTCATATTTTTTAGCTGTTCTTTTAATCTTCTTTAGAGTTCTCTTTACTCCTTACTCCAGTACTCTTTACTCCAGTACTCTTGCCTGGAAAATCCCATGGATGGAGGAACCTGGTAGGCTACAGTCCATGGGGTCGCAAAGAGTCGGATATGACTGAGCAACTTCATTTTACTCCTTACTAGCCCGTGGATTGGCAAACTGTCCCGCAGGCCAAATACAGCCCACTGCCTCTTTGCGTGAATAAAGTCTTATTGGAACACAGTCATGCTCATTCATTTACATATTGCCTACAATTGTTTTCGTGCTACAATAGCAGAGTTGAGTAACTACAAAAGAGATGGCCCCCAAAGTCTAAAATATTTTTCTCTACAAGAGAAGTTTAACCACCCGTATACAAGTCAGTTCATTATTCCAGGCCCCCATTATGTTTAATAGTTCTTCATAGTAAACTTTCCCTCTTCAAATTTACTGTGTAACTTTCCTAATCTGCTCAGACCCAATCTAACATGTCTCCAACCTCTCTGTCTCCCTTTCACAGACCATTTCCAGGCTTAGCTTCCTCTAGCTATCCTATAATGTGAGTGCTCCTCAAGGCCCTCCTCTACACTTTCTCTAAATGACTTATCTGCTTACCTCTCTTCAGTCATCAGGTCTGTGGGATTAACTAAAGAAACCTTGGTTTTTAATCTAGGATCTATGAATGAAACTGTATGCAAATTTTGTGTGGATGCACAAATGTGCATATGTATAAGAAGCTCTCTAGCCTCATCTTTTGGCACAATGGCACAATAGCTAAGGGCACAGACCCTGGATACAACCTGCTTAAGTTTGAATCCCAGCTCTGCCACTACGGCCTGGGCTAACATATTTAACCTTGCTGTTGTTTCAGTTTCCATGTCTATAAAAGAGGGAATATTGTAGTATTAATACCTACCTCAGAGAGTTGTTATGAGAGGTAATGTAGTTAATAGATACAGAGCCCTTCCCTGGTGGCTCAGACGGTAAAGAATCCACCTGCAATGCAGGAGATGCAGGTTGATCCCTGAGTCGGGAAGATCCCCTGGAGAAGAAAATGGCAATGCACTCCAGTATTCTTGCCTGGAGAATTCCATGGACAGAGAAGACCAGTAGACTACAGTCTATGGGGTCACAAAGAGTCAGACACTGCTGAAGCAACTTAGCACACATGGCACAGAATAAACACTATATAAGCACTGGGTCTTATTGCCATTTCTGGCACTACCTCTAGCCTCTGTGGTCTAAATAGACCAATGTTTTCCATTGTTCTAGTGGCCCCTGTTTTACCTTTGTGTGCTCACTCAAGTCCTCTGCTTAGAGAATTCTTGCCTATATATATTGCTTGCCCACTAACTTCTGACCTTCTTCAGGCTTCAATTCAAAGAGGTTGAGTTGTTTCCTCAAAGTCTTCCTGATTTCCAGATCAAAAGGGGTCTCCTGCTATAACCTCCCAAAACTTTCTCTATTTCCCTTTGTAAACCTCACCACAATTTTTTCATAGTAATCACTTGTTGCAGAGGTAATTTCTCCCTGGGTCCTTCCTGGACCTCAGCACAGTGCCTAATACATTGCAGGAATACCATAAAGTGAAAGTGTTAGTTGCTCAGCCATGTCCAACTCTTTGCGACCCCATGGACCATAGCCTGCCATGCTCCTCTGTCCATGGAATTCTCCAGGCAAGAATACTGGAGTGGGTTGCCATTTCCTTTTCAAAGGGATCTTCCCAACTCAGGGATCGAACCAGGGTCTCTTGCATTGCAGGTGGATTCTTTATCGTCTGAGCCACCAGGCAAACCCAGGAATACCATAAACATTTGTCAAATAAATGAGTGAATGTATAGGAACAAAACATGGGACAAATATTGTTTCTGTTGTTTAGTCTTTAAGTTGTGTCCAGTTCTTTTGCAACCATGGACTGTAGCCCATCAGACTCCTCTGTCCATGGAATTCTTCAGGCAAGAATACTGGAGTGGGTTGCCATTTCCTTGTCCAGGAGGTCTTCCTGACCCAGGGATCGAACCTGCTTCTCCTGAATTGGCAGGCGGGTTCTTTAACATTGACTCACCAGGGAAGTTGATTCAAATATTAGATAACCCAATAATTAGTGTGTGACAAAATATGATGACTATTAGATAATCAAATTTGTATTGTGTGAAGGAAATACTCTCCTTGCCAAGTGCTGTAAAATACACTGGTTTAAACTGAGCCCGGAACATGTGTCTTTCAATCAAATGGAAATGAATTGTCCAGAAGAACCAGAATACATTACTGAGTGCAGTCAGGAATCACAGACAGATGATGACTTAAAACATTCCCCACCTGAAAACATTCATTCTCTGGAAACAAGAAAGTCCTCAGATGGCAGAGCTAAAAGGAATGACTAATCAGGGAACCTGCTTGTTCCCAGAGAATTTCCATGGCTTTATTCAAGACAGGATTAAATACTTTCCCGAGTAGGCAAAACCAACTGTGCTAATCTGAGAAATCCACTGCTACCCTGGGATTTAAAATAACTAACCCAAGTCTTCAAGAAAACTATATTCTATCTTCAGTTAACACTCAAACACCAGGAAAATTATACTTTGTATTTCATGATATGTTTTTATTTTATTGAATAAAATAATTCAAAAGACACGAAGTGATTCTCCTGTAATGTCTTCGGGGACGGATTGCTTCTGCTCCTTTGGGTGAAGGAATCCCTAAAGAATTTCTCCTCTCTCCGCCCCCCGACCCCCGCCCCCAACTGTCAGACTCCAACCGCTCCTCTCGCGTGTAATCAGCGTTGGAACATTTTCCTGACGCCAATATTTGACCTCTAGAAGAAACATGAGGTAACCGACTAACCATAATTAGGGAAACCTGAACAGGGTCTGGACTTGGGCACCAGGGCAGAGAGGACTGGGGAGATTTCACGGCGGCCAGAGGGGCCACGGGAGAGCTGGTTGGGTGACCCCAAATGTCCTAGATCCTAGCCGGTTGGGGAGTCCTTGCGTATCTGGGGCAAGATTCAGCTTCTCTCGGCGTCTGGGAACTAGGAGTGCACACGCCAAGCTTCGGACTACATTTCCCAGAAGGCTCTGCTCCCCGCGCTGTCGTAGTTTACCAAGGCGTGTCTTGGAGGCGAGGCCGCAGTCGGTGAGCACAGCTGCGGCGTCTCGCTGCTGCTCCGGCAGCCGCACCTGCTTCCCGGCGAGATGCTTTGGGTCCTGCTCCTGCTCCTTCTTTTCCCCTTTCTCTTGTACATCGCTGCACCCCAAATCAGGTCTGTGCAAATGTACTGCCTTCCTCTTAGAGAAATCTGCGGGGCGCGGGGCGGGGGGAGACATACATCCTCATCGAAGCTCTGAGCTTCAAAAGGAGGACAGGAAGACTCCCTGCGGGGCTCCAGGTAAGGGATGTTCGGTGGGTCGGAGGAGGTCCAGCTGCCCAGGGAGAGGAGGGCGAGATCAAGAGACCCTCAGGTCGTGGGAAGAGGCTGCAGTCCGGAGCACCCCGCTTTGTTCCCTCGATGCCAGTCATGACATCTGCACCCCCACTGCTTGCTCTCTTGTCGCTGTTGGACTGGCTTTTCCTCTGGGCAGATATAGTAAAGGAGAGAAATGAAAGGGTTTCATCACTCTTGTCTTCTAACCTGCCTTAGCAGCAGAAGTATGGGGTGGGACGGCGTGGGGGAGGGCGGTCCCGAGCCTTGCCCTGGGGTTTGGGGGTGAGGAGGAGAGGTTGAGGGTCGTGGTCTCTTCACCAGGTGCTGTATCAGCCAATGGCTGGCTTCGTGCCCCAGAGAATCAGCAGCGAGTTGCCGGACAGGCAGCCTGCTGATTGGTTCTGAGTAGGTCACCAGTAGTGACGGTGGACCTGTGCAACGAAGTGATTCTCCTGTAATGTCTTCGGGGACGGATTGCTTCTGCTCCTTTGGGTGAAGGAATCCCTAAAGAATTTCTCCTCTCTCCGCCCCCCGACCCCCGCCCCCAACTGTCAGACTCCAACCGCTCCTCTCGCGTGTAATCAGCGTTGGAACATTTTCCTGACGCCAATATTTGACCTCTAGAAGAAACATGAGGTAACCGACTAACCATAATTAGGGAAACCTGAACAGGGTCTGGACTTGGGCACCAGGGCAGAGAGGACTGGGGAGATTTCACGGCGGCCAGAGGGGCCACGGGAGAGCTGGTTGGGTGACCCCAAATGTCCTAGATCCTAGCCGGTTGGGGAGTCCTTGCGTATCTGGGGCAAGATTCAGCTTCTCTCGGCGTCTGGGAACTAGGAGTGCACACGCCAAGCTTCGGACTACATTTCCCAGAAGGCTCTGCTCCCCGCGCTGTCGTAGTTTACCAAGGCGTGTCTTGGAGGCGAGGCCGCAGTCGGTGAGCACAGCTGCGGCGTCTCGCTGCTGCTCCGGCAGCCGCACCTGCTTCCCGGCGAGATGCTTTGGGTCCTGCTCCTGCTCCTTCTTTTCCCCTTTCTCTTGTACATCGCTGCACCCCAAATCAGGTCTGTGCAAATGTACTGCCTTCCTCTTAGAGAAATCTGCGGGGCGCGGGGCGGGGGGAGACATACATCCTCATCGAAGCTCTGAGCTTCAAAAGGAGGACAGGAAGACTCCCTGCGGGGCTCCAGGTAAGGGATGTTCGGTGGGTCGGAGGAGGTCCAGCTGCCCAGGGAGAGGAGGGCGAGATCAAGAGACCCCCAGGTCGTGGGAAGAGGCTGCAGTCCGGAGCACCCCGCTTTGTTCCCTCGATGCCAGTCATGACATCTGCACCCCCACTGCTTGCTCTCTTGTCGCTGTTGGACTGGCTTTTCCTCTGGGCAGATATAGTAAAGGAGAGAAATGAAAGGGTTTCATCACTCTTGTCTTCTAACCTGCCTTAGCAGCAGAAGTATGGGGTGGGACGGCGTGGGGGAGGGCGGTCCCGAGCCTTGCCCTGGGGTTTGGGGGTGAGGAGGAGAGGTTGAGGGTCGTGGTCTCTTCACCAGGTGCTGTATCAGCCAATGGCTGGCTTCGTGCCCCAGAGAATCAGCAGCGAGTTGCCGGACAGGCAGCCTGCTGATTGGTTCTGAGTAGGTCACCAGTAGTGACGGTGGACCTGTGCCTGCGGAGAACACTCCTTCCCTCGGTGGGGATTGGGTGGCGGGGAGAAGAGATGCAGTCCAAGGTCCGACTGTAACTGGAAGGCGCGCTAGATCACCCTCCGCCGTTTCTTACACATTCACCCCTTCCTTCCTCGTTCCTCTCCTCGTTCGAGCCGCTTCTCCAATTTTGTTGTTCTGAACTCGCCGCCCTCCCCCCTCTAGAAGCTCACACGAGTGCGATACTCGGATGAATACGCTGCTTTTTCTTTCTTTTTCGCCACAACATCCTCTGATCCACACAGAATCTCCGTGAAACGTTGAACCTGGCGTGCTGCAGTCCACGGGGTCGCAAACAGTCGGACACGACTGAGCGACTGAACTGAGCTGAAAATCCTGCTCATACTTCAAAGAGATTTTTCTAATCAAAGTTATACTCCAAGGGTCATGTTCCCAACTTACCAAGCTAGGTCATGGGGGCTGGACCAGAGCTGGACTTCCGTAGTTGCCTCTTTCTTTCCTGCTGGTTAGGAGAAGGAACAGCTGGGTTGAGGTCCTCGTGGGTGCTCCTGGAGGAAAAGCAGAATGGACGGGGGAAAACTGAGCGGGGAGGATTGTCTGAGGAGAAAGATACCCGCTGGTGGGCACCTTGCTTCCTTATTGGCCTGTTTGTTCTAAGCAGAAACTTCAGTGGCTAGCAGTGTGTGCTTTCCAATTTTCAATGAAACATTTAAATTAAAAAATGCATATCCCAGTCAACTGATTCTTTTAAACTGAGTCCCCAGGCTTTGCAGAGTAAAGGACACTCTAAGATCTAATACCTGTTTATGCATTCAGTCCTTTGGAGAAGTAAGGTAGTGTATTGCTTAGGAAGAAGGACTTGTACTGATTAAACCAGGACTGGATCCACTCTGTACTTATTTACATCATGCTTTGCCTTATTTTTAACTGTGTTCATGTGTAGGGGGCTGGGGGGCAGGGGTGACTCGTTTCATTTTGTCCCAGGTTGACAAGCTTTCATAATTTTTAACTTTTTTTGTTGAGTAAGCTGTTTTAGTCAACATAAAGGCCATAAAGTGCCAGTTATGGACCTATTAACATCAGTTAATTCTTTCTTTTTCTAGGCTGAGTCTTGTGATTTCCTCAACCCAAGGAAGAGCTCCACCAAGAGCTCAAATATTCATCCAGTTCTTGTGTACTGCAAGGAGCTAAAGTTAAAGTTGCCCTTACAATATAATCATTTCTGTCCTTAAGCAAGAGCAGAAAATATTTGAGCAAGAAAGTCATAAGAGCAGAAAACTTTTGTTTTCTTTCCTCCAGTCTTCCTTCAGTCTGTAAGAGGACAGCAGAAGGAATGAAAACAGCCGTCAGCCTTGGGATGTGTAGATATGGGGTTGTTGCAGGAACCTCTGGCTAAGGCAAAGAAAATGAAGAACTGATAACTCCTCTGTCTGCAGGAAGATGCTGTCCAGCGGGGTTTGTACATCAACCGTCCAGCTTCCTGGAAAAGTGGCTGTGGTCACTGGAGCCAACACAGGCATCGGGAAAGAGACCGCCAAAGAGCTGGCTCGAAGAGGCAAGTCTATCTGCTTTCCCTCCTGCTACTAGTTTGTTTGTTGTTTTTTTTAAGTCAAGTATAGTTGATTTGGGGCTTTCCTGGTGGCTCAGGTGGTAAAGAATCTGCCTGCAATGCAGGAGACCCAGGTTCAGTCCCTGGGTCAAGAAGATCCCCTGGAGAAGGGGATGGCTACCCACTCCAGTATTCATGCCTGGAGAATTCCATGGACAGAGGAGCCTGGCAGTCTACAGTCCATGAGGTCTCAAAGAGTCAGACACAACTGAATGACTAACACCCTTATAGTTGATTTTACAATGTTGTGTTTATTTGTGTTCATCACTTTGTGTACAGCAAGGTGATTCAGTTATACATGCATTCTTTTTTATATTCTTTTCTGTTATGGTTTATCTCAGGATATTGAATATAGTTCCTTGTGCTCAACAGTAGGACCTTGTTGTTTATCCATTCTATATGTAATAATTTTCATCCGCCAACCCCTAACTCCCAATCCATGCAACCTCCTCCCTTTTCTGCCTTGGCAACTACAAGTCTGTTCTCTGTGTCTGTGAGACTGTTTCTGTTTTGCAGATAGCTTCATTTGTGTCATATTTTAGACTCTACATGTAAGTGATATCATATCGTATTTGTCTTTCCCTTTCTGACTTAACTTCACTTAGTATGATAATCTCTAGTTCCATCCATGTTGCTGCAAATGGCATTATTTCATTCTTTTTTTGGCTGAGTAGAATTCCATTGTATATATGTACCGTATCTTTTTTATCCATTCATCTCTCAGTGGACATTTGGGTTTTTCCTTGTCTTGGCTTTTGTGGATAGTGCTGCTATGAAATAAAGGTGCATGTATCTTTTGGGCTTATAGTTTTGTCAAAATATATGCCTAGGAGTAGATTTCTGGTTCATATGATAATTCTATTTTTTAGTTTTCTGAGGACTATTTTCTATAGTGGCTATACCAACTTATATTCCCACCAACAGCATAGAAGTGTTACCCTTTCTCCACACACTCTCCAGCTTTTGTTATTTGTAGACTTTTAATAATGTCCATCCTGACTGGTATGAGATGATATCTCATTGTAGTTTTGATTTGCATCTCTAATAGTTAACAATGTTGAACATCTTTTCATGTGCCTGTTGGCCCTCTGTCTTCTTTGGAGAAACTTCTATTTAGGTCTCCTGCTTGCTACTGCTATTTTATCCTTTCCCATGATGACCATTTTCATTATTTCCTCCCAGGCTTGGAATACAAGAACATTTGAAGGGCCCCACTGATCTGCTGGTCTGAATGTTGTACATGTTCTACATATAATGGACATAATGAAAAGTGTTGATTTATTTTTCTTTCCTGATTTATTCATCAGATACCTCTTTGTGAAGTAGGGGTAGTCCCTTTTTAGAAACAAACAGTAGAAAATAATATTTAACATTAGAATTAAGTCTTTGATGCTCACTCAAAAAACAAAGCCAACAGTTTATCTCTCTTATATGTTGGTTGACAGGAGCCCGTGTGTATTTAGCTTGCCGGGACGTGCAAAAGGCGGAGTTGGTGGCAAGAGAAATCCAGATGATAACAGGGAACCAACAAGTGTTGGTGCGGAAACTGGACTTGGCTGATACTAAATCTATTCGAGCCTTTGCTAAGCGCTTCTTAGAAGGTAAGTGTCCAACTAGGGACTATGCTGTGGGTCTTGCAATCAACATGGAAGACTTAGCTAAAAGGAAAAGATTCCTCTCCCTCTCTGACATCTAGAAATGCCAGACAAGATACAACCAAAACCTTCTGGATTCATAATGGAACTCCTTAGTAACAAAGGGAAATCCTCAAGAGGCAGAAAAAAAAGTGACTTCAAAAAGTCATAGCAGACTTCCGCAGTGGTCCAGTGATTAGGAATCATCCTGCCATTGCAGGGGACGCAGGTTCGATCCCTGGTCCAGGAGGATCCTGCATGCCTCAGGGCAACTAAGCCTGTGAGCCATACCTACCTAGAGCCCATACTCCACAACCAGAGAGTAGCCCCCTCTTGCCACAACTAGAGAAAGCCTACACGCAACAACGAAGACCCAGCAGAGCCAAAAATAAATAAATAAATAAAATTCACCCAAAAATGTCATAGTAGTGCATAAGAACTAAAGCCAAAAATCTCATATGTGTTCTAGAACTCCATATGGTCTGGAGTCCAAATATCCATATAGAGATAAGAGATGAGGCCTCAGGATTTTGAGGGCTGGGTTGCTGTACTTGAGGCTCCACATCAGGCTGGGATCCACAAAAAGACATCTGGTCCATGGTACAGGGGCTTAAAAAAAAAAAAAACCCAGGCCAGCTGCTCAAGGATATGACAAAGAAGCCTATCATCTCTCTAGGAGGTGGATGAATAAAAAGTCATCTGCAAGAAATTAGAACTTTAGGCTGACATTTATGGAGGAGGAGGGAATTTCATTCACATCACTAACTATGCAAGAAACTTAAGCCGAGAAATTAACATAAAATCCTGTAGTGTCACATCAAAAGCAAGTCCAAGAGTGCTCTGTAGACTTTTTCCCTCATAACCCAGGGATCTAGGCCTCCCAGGGAAAACAGCTTCCACTGATACATGCTTTTAGACAAAAATTACAAATGATATGAAAAAAGAAATCATAAGAGAGTTGGCAATTGAAACAGAGGTAAAACCAGTGTTTCTTTGGGGGCCTGAAACTGAGTGGCAGGGAGGCATACCAAACATCCTGTTTTTCTCTTGTTTTGGAATTTCTCATTCAGCTGGGGAAGTCTTTCTATTGGGAGAGATAGAACACTTCCCAAAAGCAGTGAGTCAGTAGGTCCTGAATTGGAAAGATTGGAAAGGCCATTTGGTCATGTCATGTGGAATTTTCCCTGTAGTAAGAATATGTAGGATTCAGCTAGCATCTTAAAATGAAAAACAATACAAAATAAATATGAAGGGAAAATGGAGGAAAGATTGAAGCCATGCATCCCCCTTTTCAAAGCATGGGTGTGGGGCCGATTTCGAAGATGCAACAGGCGTGGCTGGCCACGTGCACTCTCCTTCTCCTCTTCCCTGCAGAGGAAAAGCATCTCCACATTTTGATCAACAACGCAGGAGTGATGATGTGTCCCTACTCCAAAACAGCAGATGGCTTTGAGATGCATATAGGAGTCAACCACTTAGGTAAGAAATCTTATCTCATCACAAAGCTAAAGGGAAACTTAAATTCTCATTGGAAAACTTAGGGTCATATGGCGCCTTCTTTGTGGTGTGAATGGACCTCTGGGCCATCAGTTCAGTTCAGTCGCTCTGTCGTGTCTGACTCTTTGCAACCCCATGAATCACAGCACACCAGGCCTCCCTGTCCATCACCAACTCCCGGAGTTTACTCAAACTCACGTCCATCAAGTTGTTGATGCCATCCAGCCATCTCATCCTCTGTTGTCCCCTTCTCCTCCTGCCCCCAATCCCTCCCAGCATCAGGGTCTTTTTCAGTGAGTCAACTGTTCGCATGAGGTGGCCAAAGGATTAGAGTTTCAGCTTCAGTATCAGTCCTTCCAATGAACACCCAGAGCTGGTCTCCTTTAGGATAAACTGGTTAGATCTCCTTGCAGTCCAAGGGACTCTCAAGAGTCTTTTCCATAACAGACCATAAATATATTAATTTAATAACTAGTGTGGTCCTGCCAGAAAGCTCAGACTCCCTTGAGGTTCCCCCCATTTTTTAATCTGTGCTTCACATTCAGTTTAACTTAACCTAATTGGAGTGGGTGCTATGTCGCTTTCTTTGTAGCCACCTTTGTGGCAGGCATCAAATGGAGGCCATCGGCTCTTAAACAGTTGTTACCTAGTCCAGGCTTACTCTGCTCACTGCACGACAGGCCAATGAATTCGAGAGGTGAGGTGTTGAGGCAAGGAAGAGACTTTAATCAGGGAGCAGGCAGACTGAGAAGATGGCAGGCTAGCACCTCAAAGTAACCATCTTATCAGGGTCTGGATGCCAGGTTCTATTATAGATCAGAGATGGGGATAGGTAAGGAAGCAAAGTAAAAAGACCATTAATCTTGCAAACATCTGCTGGAATGGCAAGCCTCAGGCATGGGATGTGTTAATTTCTCCCTTCCTGCCATCCACAGGTGGACAGGGTTCTGAACAAAGGCACTTTTAGTTTAACAGCCAGACAGAGGGGCAGGATTCTCTGAGGCAAACCATTCTGTATGATTTTAATAACAAAAGCAGCAAAAAGCAAGTCAAAGAAACAGTTCTATCCTGGGGTCAGAATTGGCTTCCTCCCTGCAACAGTGATGTTATTCAAAGTTGGAATAAGATATGACTTCATATTCATGAGGGCTTCCCTGGTAGCTCAGCTGGTAAAGACTCTGCCTGCGATGCAGGAGACCTGGGTTTGATCCCTGGGTTGGGAAGATCCCCTGGAAAAGGGAACTGCTACCCACTCCAGTATTCTGGCATGGTGAATTTCATGGACTANTTACATAATCTAGACCTCCATCATAAAAGGATGTCTCATGACTTTGGCACTCCTATGTCCCTAAACTCTCATTGAACTTGTTCTGTAGTTGATAATGAATTAATGAAGCAAAAAGCTTTATTATTGGATTCTCTGTCTCCCTTAGCGGAGCCTGGCTCACCTCTACTCCCTTTCCCCCCACATTGGCCCTGAAATCTATTAATTCTTTTTCTCATAGGTCACTTCCTCCTGACCCATCTGTTGCTAGAAAAGCTGAAAGAATCAGCACCATCAAGGGTGGTGAATGTGTCTTCCTTAGCACATCACCTGGGAAGGATCCACTTCCATAACCTGCAGGGCGAGAAGTTCTATCAATCAGGTTTGGCCTACTGTCACAGCAAATTAGCCAACATTCTCTTCACCCAGGAACTGGCCCGGAGGCTAAAAGGTAAGCTTAAAAGAAGTGAGTATGGAGACAGGAGTCAATGGGAAGTAGCTAAAAGTCTCAGGAATCAGAGCTGTTTTCTGGAGCCCATCTGGTGGACAGCATCTGCTTTCATGGCTCTGCTTGGGTATAGTTTTACTAAATAGCCCACAAATGAATGTTGGAGGTGATGGGGGAGTTCTGAAAGCTTGACTTTGGCATTTACTTGCTGCATAACCTGCAATAAGTTGCTTAACTTTACAAGACTTAATTGCTCATATGTAAAGTGGGATTGCTTCATGGGTTATTGTTATGATTAATTCAAGCCTCATGAGCAAGTCAAGGAAGGTTTTTGACTTTTTTTGACTTAGAATGGAGGGACCAAAACGGCACTGGCTACAAACACTAGGATAAAACAGCTCCTGGGACTATAGAGGGTGAGGGGATTTCCCTAACAGCAAAGGGTCAAATAAAAGGGAAATGTATGCTTGAGGAAGGGAGTCTCCAGACACAAACAGAGGTCCTTAGCATAGTCTACTCTGGATTTCCAATAAAGAGTAAGGAAATCCAACGTGGACAATTAGAAGTGCTTAGACTTGAGACAGGCAGATCAGGCAGAAGGAATCAGACACAGGCACTCCAGCGCTGGAACAGGAGTGTCAAACCACATGAAATATTCTCTGTCCCTCTTCTGCTTCCCCCTGCCCGCCCTAAGAAACCACTGTCAAAAACTTGACGTGCACCTCTCCAATTGTTTTCTTGTGCATTTAACTGTGTGTATACCATACATAAGGAACTGAAATCCTAACACAGTACTTTAGAGATCTTTCCATTTAGTACCGGAGATTTACCACCATCAGTGAAAAGGCAGCTTTAGAAAGGCAGTGATCAACAAGGTCAACTGCTTCTGAGCGGGTCCTGGCTCTGCTGCTTCCTAACAGTTAATAGCCATGCTGAGCCTGAATCGTAATCTGTGAAGTGAAGGTGTACATTACTGCGAGGAGTGCTTGTGACAGCATCAGAACAGAGTCCACAGCGGGCAAATGTTGGCTCATGTCTCCCGCCCTCTTTGGCCACTCGGCAGCGTCAAGGCCTTCTTCCTCTTTCTACCCGGCCCGCTAGCATCCGGCTCTGGCGTCACGGTGTACTCTCTGCATCCTGGCACAGTCAGCTCTGAGCTGGTTCGGCACTCCGCCCTCATGAGATGGATATGGTGGCTTTTCTCCTTCCTCATCAAGACCCCTCATCAGGGAGCGCAGACCAGCCTGTACTGTGCCTTAACGGAGGGCCTGGAGGCTCTCAGCGGAAGCCACTTCAGGTACGAATGTGTCTGTTCTTGAGGATGGAAGTTTATTGCCTATGGGAAATTATTTGGATTTGTCTGATACACTATACCCTTAAAAAAAAGATTATTTATTTATTTCAGGGGGGCCGCTGCACTGGGTCTTCTTTGCTATGTACAGGCTTTCTCTAGTTGCGGCAAGTAAGGGCTACTCTTCACTGCGAAGCCTGGGCTTCTCATTGTTGTGGAGCCCGGGCTCCAGGCGTCAGGTACTTTGGTAGTTGTGAAGCATGGGCTTAGTTGCTCTGGAGCAAGTGGGATTTTCCTGGACCAGGGATAGAACTCATGTCACCTCCGTTGGCAGGCAGATTCCTAACCACGGGACCACCAGGAAAGCCCTGAAATAGTATAGTGTTGTTTTTTGTTTTTTTTAGTAATTTTATTTATTTTAGGCTGTGCTTCAAGGGCTTTTCTCTAGTTTCAGCGAGTTGGGGCTACTCTCTAGTTGCGATGCGTGGGCTTCTCTTTGCAGTGGCTTCTCTTGCTGCGGAGTCTGCAGGCTCAGGGGCAAGCGGGCTTCAGTAGTTTCGGCAAGTGGGCTCAAAATAGTCGAGGTTCCTGGGCTCTAGAGCACAGGCTCAATAGTTGTGATGAATGGTGTTAGTTGCCGCACAGCATGTGGAATCTTCCCAGACCAGGGATTGAACCTGTGTCTCCTGCATTGGCAGACCAGATCCTTTACTGTGTATCCACCAGGGGAGCCCCCAAAATGGTAGTCTTAAAAATTGTTTCTCCAGATCAGCAGCCCAGGCTGGATGCATGAGACAAGTGCTCGAGCCTGGTGCACTGGGAAGACCCAGAGGAATCGGGTGGAGAGGGAGGTGGGAGGGGGGAATCGGGATGGGGAATACATGTAACTGCATAGCTGATTCATGTCAATGTATGACAAAACCCACTGCAATGTTGTGAAGTAATTAGCCTCCAACTAATAAAAATAAATGAAAAAAAAATTTAAAAAAAATTGTTTCTCACATGACTTCAAAGATTGTGATTCCCTTTACTCAATCATTAAAAAATAACCCTTCACTGAATCCCTGCTGTGTACTAGATGCAGAGAATACAAAAATGAGTAAGAGAATTATTCTTGAGACACTTTTCTGGGCAGTAAAGAGTTTGGATATCTGTCCTGTATTTAATGGGGACTTAAAATAATCGAAATTACAACAGTGAAGAGAAGGTATATGAAACAGATGGGACCTTATTACCATTTCTTTTTTTACGATATTTTTTTAATGTGGACCATTTTAACAGTCATTTTGAATTTGTTCCAATATTGCTTCTGTTTTTGTTTTGGTTTTTTTGGCAATGAGGCGTGTGGGATCTTAACTCTCCAACCAGGGGTCAAACCTGCACCTCGTTGGAAGACAGTGTCTTAACCACTGAACCACCAGGGAAGTCTCCTTGTTACCATTTCTTTTCTCCTATCATCTTTTCCTTCTTTTGTTGGTTATGAAGCTGACTTTACTTGTTCTTTGAGTTGAAAAACAGTTATAACTGTAGGTACACTGCAGAAAGAAGAAGCACTTTTTTAACCACTCCAAGCATCTATGAGCAATGTAGTATCTCAGCCACATGACACCATCCAACATCTTACAGAGTTGACCTTTCAGACATATTTGAACCAGATGCACATACACAGGTATCAGCCAGGCACTGATATTATAAATAAATATTTACATATACACACACACACACAAGGGGGATGTAAAGACTAAATGATATGTATTATATATCAAACAAACATTCTGATCCCAGGCGGTCTAGTGAGCTCCAAAATGGTTCTGACCCCGTTATTCTCTGGGATAAAGACTGGAGAATGAAGAGATAGGGCAGACACTGGTCCTGTGAAGCACCCAGAGCACATGTCATCCCTGGGTTATTTTTCTGTTGTGTTCTTTATGCCAGGCGGAGGGCAGACTGCATTCTTAACCCCGTGTTCTCAGCCTCTCCTTTCCCTTCCAGTGACTGCCAGGTGACATGGGTCTCTGCACAGGCTCGTAATGAGACGGTAGCAAGGCGGCTGTGGGATGTCAGCTGTGACCTGCTAGGCATCCCTGTGGACTGACTGATGATGGCAGCTGGACCCAAGAGAAGCCTGAAGCAGACTACTCAGCACTCCCTGCCAAAATGATTCTCCTTCAGGATGGCCAGAACCTGGAGCACAAAGCAGACCTTCCGACCTTGCCTGCTTGATGCCTGATGAAAGCCCAGTGTACACTGCCGGATTCATCCAAACACCTTGCATTTGTCCCGGTTACTTTGCTCCTATTACTGCCCGTTATTAGAGATAATATAGGCTAAGTAGACCCTCAGTTGACCTCCAAACTCATCTTTCCCTTCTGAAGCCTGTTACCCAGGGGAACCTAAGCTGCGGCAGGGGTTGATTGATGGCACTTTGGATTCATTTCTGTCCTCTCTGTCCACAATGTAGTTCTTCTGAACCAAACAACCTTCAAGGGGAGGCATGATTTAGCCTCAGCTAAACTCCAGGAGTCCCAGTGGCTTGGCTCAAGAGCAGGGTTTGTCATCGTTGGAAGGCAGTGTCTTAACCACTGAACCACCAGGGAAGTCTCCTTGTTACCATTTCTTTTCTCCTATCATCTTTTCCTTCTTTTGTTGGTTATGAAGCTGACTTTACTTGTTCTTTGAGTTGAAAAACAGTTATAACTGTAGGTACACTGCAGAAAGAAGAAGCACTTTTTTAATCACTCCAAGCATCTGTGAGCAATGTAGTATCTCAGCCACATGACACCATCCAACATCTTACAGAGTTGACCTTTCAGACATATTTGAACAAGATGGACATACACAGGTATCAGCCAGGCACTGATATTATAAATAAATATTTATACACACACACACAAGGGGGATGTAAAGACTAAATGATATGTATTATATATCAAACAAACATTCTGATCCCAGGTGGTCTAGTGAGCTCCAAAATGGTTCTGACCCCATTTTTCTCTGGGATAAAGACTGGAGAATGAAGAGATAGGGCAGACACTGGTCCTGTGAAGCACCCAGAGCACATGTCATCCCTGGGTTATTTTTCTGTTGTGTTCTTTATGCCAGGCAGAGGGCAGACTGCATTCTTAACCCCGTGTTCTCAGCCTCTCCTTTCCCTTCCAGTGACTGCCAGGTGACATGGGTCTCTGCACAGGCTCGTAATGAGACGGTAGCAAGGCGGCTGTGGGATGTCAGCTGTGACCTGCTAGGCATCCCTGTGGACTGACTGATGATGGCAGCTGGACCCAAGAGAAGCCTGAAGCAGACTACTCAGCACTCCCTGCCAAAATGATTCTCCTTCAGGATGGCCAGAACCTGGAGCGCAAAGCAGACCTTCCAACCTTGCCTGCTTGATGCCTGATGAAAGCCCAGTGTACACTGCCGGATTCATCCAAACACCTTGCATTTGTCCCGGTTACTTTGCTCCTATTACTGCCCGTTATTAGAGATAATATAGGCTAAGTAGACCCTCAGTTGACCTCCAAACTCATCTTTCCCTTCTGAAGCCTCTTACCCAGGGGAACCTAAGCTGCGGCAGGGGTTGCTTGATGGCACTTTGGATTCATTTCTGTCCTCTCTGTCCACAATGTAGTTCTTCTGAACCAAACAACCTTCAAGGGGAGGCATGATTTAGCCTCAGCTAAACTCCAGGAGTCCCAGTGGCTTGGCTCAAGAGCAGGGTTTGTCCTTCTTCTCTTAAGAAAACCACCATGGCACCAACACCTGAATTCTCTCAGCTCTTCACTGAATCTGGATTGTGGCATGGCTTTATCTCTGACAACCTAAAGCCACTGCTGCTAAAACACTTTCCCATGCCTAGACCACAGAAGAACTTCCTTTTCTAGGAAGGTGGAGTTTACTGGATTTCCACAGAGATTTGCGGAAAGGCAGAAATAAACATCAAATTTAAACTGTCATTCATTTTTCTGCTGTTTTTCAAATCAGCAAGAAGGTGGTGGAAAAGGCAGTTTGAAAAGATAGCCCACTTGACTTCACTTACCCTAATTCATGGAGGCTTCCTCTTTGTGCCTTAGTTTCTCTTAGAAAACCAGAAGAGGAAGGCTATTTAATGATTGTCCCTGAGTATATCTTTGTGTGTGTTCTTGTGTCTTTAAGCAGTTGGGAGTATTCAAAATAGTCAGAAAGGAACAGTATTAAACTGGACCCTAGTGCAGATAAATAATCAGAGACAGAGCAGACCTGTGTCATTCAGTCTTTGATACAAATAGGAAATGAACTCTGTCTATGCTGATAACTACCCACCAAGAAGCACATAGGTAGCAGGGAAGAAGTCCAAAAAAGAGAAAAATCCTGGAAGATAATGCACGCAAAGGCAATGAAGGGGCTAGAAAAGGGAGGTTTTTTTTTTTTAATGCACAGCTAAAGATGGTAAAATCCAGCAATAGAAGAATTGAGGGTGACTACCCTGTGTTCAAGCATGATAAGGCACTGTTTTAACAAGCACCCATCAACCCATGTGGCAGAAAAAGCAAAAACAGTCCCCCAACCCCTCGAATTCTTTATTCAGCAAAATTATCTTAAGGACTGGTATTGGTAATTATGGTCATTTTAAAACTTGTTCAGGGCATTTCCTTATATTACCGTGACAAGATTAAAATGCCTGCTGTATAGTTTACTTGAAGAATGTTTATCCAAAGTAATGGAAGTCTGAGAAACTGGAACACAAACATGTTCCATCACTTGTTTGGAGTACATTCTTTTAGTAGAGTTTGTGATTTTCTTGGACTAATAATTACATGATCACTTTGGTGGAGAAAAGAGTTATAGGACCATAGTCTTCTCATATTTGTAAATAATCTTTTGTTGAACTTGTTTTGACCATTAAACTATAGATATGGTCATTTTATGGAAAAATTGGAAAACTTTTGATAATAGTACAGAACTGAACTAATATTTTACTTAATTTATATTGAACTGTCAATGACAAATAAAAAATTTGATGATTTACCATGTTTTTATTTACCAGAATAAAGCCTGTAATAATTAAGCAAATTTAATTTGAGTCAACAGAAGAAAGCAATTAAATGACAGTTTAATTACTGTCAAAAGAAGAAAACACTTTTCATTACTATGGTTATGCAATCAGTCCTCATTCATAAGGATAATTTGTCCCAGAGTTTGCCACAGTGCAGTCTCAATTCAAATGCTATTAACTTGCATTGTTGATAATTTGATTGTTCATTCACCCATTTCTACTAATGTTTTGTGACACTGTTCAAAGACCACTTTTTCCAACCCAGGCTATTTATTATCTTTCCTTTTTGTACCTGCCTCTTCTGTAACACAGTGCTATGGGGCTTATCACAGTACACTGCTACTAACAATCCCAGACTTCGCTATCTCTGAATGCTCAATGAATGCTGGTGTCTCAGTGATAAAGAATCTGCCTACAATGCAGAAGACTTGGGTTCCATCCCTGGGTCAAAAATATTCCCCTGGAGAAGGGAATGGCTACCCACTCCAGTATCCTTGCCTGGGAAATCCCATGGACAGTAGAGCCTGGCAGGCTGCAGTCCATGGAATCACAAAGAGCTGGATACGACTGAGCGACTGACACTTTTCACTTTCATGGGACTTATCACAGTACACCGCTACTGACAACTGGAGACTTGGCTACACAAAGAGCTCAACAAATGTTTGTTGAATCAAAGGTCAGTGAACTCAGTCTAATAAAAATAAGGGCCCAAGAGATATACATCACCAAATCATTTCCCCCTGAACAGTCATATGTATCTTAACATGTGGGCAGTCTTCAGTATTGGGCTGCCGAGGAAACATTTCAGAATGAACTCCATAGGCAAACCATGTAATCAACGGAAATAGGAATTTCCCCCACTAAACCATGGAAAATTCTGAAAGAGATGGGAATATCAGACCACCTGACCTGCCTCTTGAGAAAACTATATGCAGGTCAGGAAGCAACAGTTGGAACTGGACATGGAACAACAGACTGGTTCCAAATAGGAAAAGGAGTACGTCAAGGCTGTATATGGTCACCCTGCTTATTTAACTTCTATGCAGAGTACATCATGAGAAATGCTGGGCTGGAAGAAGCACAAGCTGAAATNGGAGGAGAAGGGGACGACAGAGGATGAGATGGCTGGATGGCATCACCAACTCGATGGACATGAGTTTGAGTAAACTCCGGGAGTTGGTGATGGACAGGAAGGGCTGGCAGTGCTGTGATTCATGGGGTCGCAAAAAGTAGGACACGACTGAGCGACTGACCTGAACTGAACTGAAACCATGGAAATCCACAAAGTGCAGGAAAAGTCTTTGTAATTGTTAACACATTACACTTAATGGGAAAGAGACCTGATGAAGCCAGGTCTGCCATGCTCACTACATTATAAATTATCCAAGCGCAGAGGGTGAATCTTTTATTCACCAACACATGCCCAGATCCCAGCATATAGGCTACGCTTAAATTGACTGAGTGAGTGAATGCATGAGCAAGCCCAACCGCTAGAGGCTGAGCGCATATTTGAGGGGTCGCACTGCTACCTGGGGACCACTCCTGAAAGCATGTCACTTCGGTCACCTGCTCCCCAATAAAAGTGCTTTCAGCTCGGGGGCAAGCAGTCACCTGGTCCAACTATCTTCTGAGAACTGAAAGCTAACAGCTGGAATGTGAACTGAGGAAGTCAGGATAGTCACACAGTGAGATGATTATGAAGACGACGGCCAGGTACCAACTGATACCTAACCGCTGCGCATCACGGTCACGCCGGCGGCCAAGGTTACAGCAGGACCACCGCCCCCAGCAACTGCTGACTTCCGAGTCGGAGCGTCTTCCGCGCCGAACTACAACCCCCGGCATGCACTGCAGCGCCCCCAACCCTTGCCGGAAGGCGGGGCCCAGGAAAGAGGCGGCCGCGTCGCCCTGCCCGCGGGTGCCCATGTTTTCCTTCCGCCAAAGGGCTTCCCCCCAGCCTCGGACTGAGCATTTCCGGGGTTCCGAGACCGCCGCTCGCGCCAAAGCGCCGCCGCCCCTTCAGGAGTCTCCCGGGCAACGGAGCCATACTAACTTTCTGTCAGGCTTTGGCGTCCGGCGCGCCGTCAGTGACGGCATGCGGGGGGAGGGGGGTGGGCGTTCCGGCGGGGGAGGACCCCGCCGCGGCCCCGGAAGCGCCTCGTCTTGGGCGACAGTGGTGGCGGTCGCCGTGATGCCTGCGGGGCTGGGCGGCTGACGACGGAGTAGGAACGGGCCCTGGGCCCAGAATTTCGGCGCCTGCTGCTCGGAAGCGGCCTGCGCCATGGCCACCTCCGCCGCCTCCTCGGAGCATTTCGAGAAACTGCACGAGATCTTCCGCGGCCTCCATGAAGACCTACGAGGGGTGCCGGAGCGGCTCCTGGGGATGGCAGGGACAGGTGAGGTGGGGGCGGGATGAGCCCACGGGAACAGCGCTCCGCTAGCACCGGGAGGAAGAGCCCCCACCTCCTTCCCAGGCCCACCCTCCCGTCTCCTCGCTTGGCATCCTCAGACACGCC